AGTCCACGCACAACCTAATTACATCATACATACGACGACCACCGTAGTCGTGTCAAACGACCCGGAAATATTACGAATAACTATCAGTCCTCAACCTTACATATATATGGTATTTATCCACACCCTTCCACCTTNCAAATAGAACTTGAAAGAGAGGAAAAATCGATTAGGGTTTGTGTGGGATTTTTGTGGAGGAGTTGCAGGGATTAACTTGGGTTTTGAGGGTCTGAAAAATGGATGAAATAACTGAGTTCATAACCCCTTAAAAGTNTAGATCTTTAATTTGGTGGGTAGATCACCCCGTAATTCCTTGTAAATTAGGAGAAAAGCTTAGAAACATTTAACCTAATGTTTAAGTAAAATTATGAACCTAAGTTGCGACAACGTTTGTCGACTTTTGTTTCATTACTCGTTTGACTTCAAGACTTATGATACAGATATTATATGATTCAAACACTTTAATACATGACCTTGAGTGTATTAAGAACCTCTAGGTTTACCTGAAAATACGAGTTACAACATCCTTGATTCGTTTAACTTTTAATACTTGTTAATCACCCTTATACACCCTTGTATCACTTAAGACCAATAGGATTAACTTCTTATCATCTCAAAGGTAATTCCTTCTTGAATTTATGTTAACTAATATATGGCATGAACTAACGTGTGTGGATATGGGTTGTAACATACTATTTTTTTTGGTTTGTCACGTGGTGTGTTTAGTACCTATTTTGGTGCCCGACTACATCATACATGGGGTGTATGTCCTTTCCCGGGTGAAAATAGTATAGACTAACCGGTTTTCTGACTGGTAATTAAAAATAGCCAGTATTTGCAAAGTCATTAAAAAATAACCACTATTTTGTTTAACAACAAAAAGTTCTAACATAATATGCTGGATTATGGAGCTCTTGCGTATAAAATTCCAGCATATTATGTTGGAACGTCAGCACGCGGAAAGTTCCAGCATAATATGCTAGATTATGGAGCTACTACGTATAAATTCCAGCATATTATGTTGGAACTCCAGCACATTATGCTGGAATCTCATATGTAAAAAGTTCGAACTCCAACATATTATGGTAAAATTTTTCCAAAATTTTAAGGGTATTTTTATACATGAAAAAATGGCTAAATTTCGATTATTCTGAAACTGTGGCTATATTTCAATTACCAGGTGTAAATCTGGCTATTTCTGATTTTTTTTCTTTTTCTGGTTCTACGAGAACGCAGGATGCTTCATGCATGGGCTGCCCTTTTAATGGGCCAGACTAATTCATATTCACGCTGCGTAAGATTCATTAAGGAGGAAGCGTTTTCTACTAAGGACTTTTTTTCATTTCTAGAGTTAGAACCGAGACCAAGTGAAGTGGTCTTATCCATGACTTCAGAATCTTTGGTGATTCTTCCTTAAATCGTTTTGGGCACTTTGTTTCCAAGCATGACTAGTGGAAGAATTACTTTGTGGAGAGAAGCCTTCGAAGTAAGAAGTATTAACCAAAAGACAAGCATATTGGGTCAAAATAAATTGTTAATTGTCAAACAACAAAGATAGTCAGGTCTTCAAATGTTTACAAAAAGGAAGATAGAAGACATAGATCGGAGAATGAAAAAGATAAGTGGGGTACAAATATTTGTTTAAATGAGAGATAAGAATATTCATTTAAATATTTTAAATAAAATAATAGACCAAGTAAAACTCTGGTAATCTTTATGGTTCAGATTTTATACCTCTACGACAAACTAGGCTAAAATTTGTCACCCACCGAAAGAAAAAGAAATGGAAAGAAGACTAACAATAATTCAGTAAAATCTCACAAGTAGAGCCCGGAAAGGACATAGTATATGCAGACCTTACTCTTACCCCGAAGAAATAGAGAGATTGTTTCCGAAAGACCCTCGACTAAAAAAGACGAAAAAATACAATACGTTAAATCAATAAATATATAATGCCTCTCTAATTTAACCATAGGTAATATGTGTATAGTTTTATTTCAATTAATTTTTTTTGGTGATAAATTAATGTGATTTGATTTAAACATTAAACGTGAATAATTTTTTTATTAAATACACACCAACTAACCCTCCACCTCCACCTCAAAAAGAGAGTAATTTCCAAACTCATCCTTCTTGTGATGGTGATCTAACTGTCCCTCACAAGTTCAAACATCACTCAGAGTTTCCATACATAATTTCCATACATAATTCAAAGATTTTATAAGTTGGCTCGCACACTATTGTCAATTAAACAAAAATGTATTGGAGCAAAAAAAAAAAAATCTGTTTTGAACCTAAAGTTTGTGAGTCAACCAGAAGGCAATAATCCTATATAAATCCGAGAGTATAACAATAATGATATATCTAATCTAATTTTATACGTGAAAAATATAAATGGAAAATGACATTGTATAGATGCTCTTAAAATAATAACCAAAAAAATATATATATTTTGTATATATATATATATATATATATATATATATTTTGTATGATATATATAAAAATTATATAATTTTTTTTTTTTGGTTACGGAACGTAAATAATTTATGACGCGGGTTAGAAGGGAACACAATTATACATATGCTCCGCCAACATAAACAAATCTGACAAATTCGTTACATTTATGCTCTGTTATGACAACAAACAATTAAACCCCTCTCTCTCTCTCTCTCTGGTTGAAAAACTGGAGTGACTAATCCCAGCAACCAAATCCTGAAAATCTGAAACCCTTCGTACCCTTTCTCAGTCTTCACTTCCACTAACAATCTAACACTTGTTCAATTTTCGTCTCCTTCTGTTTCTCAACATATTCTCGAGTACACCATTGGCCTTTATCTATTAACATAGATCCATTATTTACTTCTTCAGCTTAAGCAAAAGGGTCTCCTCTTTTTGGGATTCTTTCAGCTTTGCCATATATGCACTTTCCATTTTAAGCAAAATGTGGTTACTATAACTTGGTACTTTCCAAATTCAGTGGATAAATTCGATACGAAAGTTCTCATGGGTACTGTTATTTTGACCTCAGAACCTCAGCATTTCTCCTAAAACTTTAAGGGGTTTCTCAAAGCTTCAATTTTTCGAGGTAATTCACTTTGTTTTCTTATGTATGTTTCTGAATTTTGTCAACCTGTATCTGTTCAGCTCGACTTTTGTGGAAATATAAAGAATTGAAAAAAAACTGAAGATGTTGTCGGTCCTTTTGAATTGTATTTTTGGAGAAACTAACTATATTTGTCTAATGGAAGCTTAGGATTCCCTATTACTGTGACCTGATAAGACTTGGGGTTGTTCAATAAGCCCAACTAACCCAACCCTCTTTGACATTTGCTCGAAAGATGTATTATGAATGTGGTAGGTTCTTTTTTGTTTTAACGGTGTTATCCGGGCTAGCTTGTGTACCCCAACTATTCCACCCGGTACCTGTTATCTCCCACATCACATGTACTGGATAACTCTTCTCATAAAGGCTTACATACATGGAAAGAAATCACCTAGTATTTTTTTACCTCCGCTGGAATTTGAACCTTAAACCGAATGCAAATGCGGAGCTAGGATTTTGAGTTCATGGGTTTTGCATTTTAGAAAAGGCAGCTTACTAGGTTCTGAATAAATTAATTATAAATATTAAATAAATTCTATACATAAATGCAGGGTCTAGGCCAAAACTACTGGGTTCTGCTGTAACCATACGCAGGCTTGTGGCTCCGCCCTGACCTTTCGTTTACACTAGGCCACACCCTTTGGGTGCCTGTTTTGGTAGGTATTTTATGTTTATGATGTAGCTATTCTTCATCAACTGTTACAAACTCCAATCTTGGTTAAGAATACTATGAGAGTGAAAAACTTATGATTAATGGGGTTATTTTAGTCTCAGCTTGACTTAAAGGGGTGGTGATTCTCCTTTCTTTTGATTATTAGATATTATCGAGTTAGAAATTAGAATACTTAAGTGCTAGCTATTTGTATATCTTAGCTCTTGCTTTTCTACTTCAAGACTCTCTTTGTTCATGAAGTTGAAAACTGAATCTTTGTGAACCAAAGGTTTCTCTGAGAATGTTGTCTTCTTCTAGGGAGTATATACTTTTCTAATCAAACTAATACTGCTGTTTTGAGCTGTTTAACGATTGTACGTGATTCAATGTGTCACAACATCTTTTTCTCTTTTGGTGTAATCATTCATCTATCTGTGAGATTGAATAGCTTTTGAAGTTACTGTATGTTGTTAGTTTAGGGGACAAGATTTTTGATAAAGTCTGCAGAGCTTTCAGCTTTAGTATGTTGTTATCTGACCTGGTGTTTTCTTTCTTTATTTTTTTTTCTGTGAGAACATGATTAGTTTTACTGGTCCGTTTCTGCATCTGGTGAAAAATTAGTTGAACACAGATCAATTGCTATTTGGCATTCATAAAGAATTATCCAAGTCAAGGTCATTACTATGTGCTTTTGGAACGTATGTGCAAAAAGAAGCATTAGTTGAACATAGATTAAGTGATATTTGGCATCCATCAACCAAATCCTGAAACTCTGTAACCCTTCTTACCATTTCTCACCTCTCAGTCTTCACTTGCACTAACAATCTAACACCCGTTCAATTTTTGTCTCCTTCTCTTTCTCAACATATTCTCGAGTACACCATTTGCCTTTATCTATTAACATAGATCCATTATTTACTTCTTCAGCTTAAGCAAAAGGGTCACCTCTTCCTTGGGACTTTTTCAGCTTTGCAATATGTGAACTTTCCATTTTTAGCAAAATGTGGTTACTATAATTTGGTACATTCCAAATTCAGTGGATAAATTCGATACGAAAGTTCTCATGGGTACTTGTTATTTTGACCTCAGAACCTCAGCATTCCTCCTAAAACTTTAAGGGGTGTCTCAAAATTTCTATTTTTCGAGGTAATTCACTGTGTCTTCTTATGTATGTTTCTGAATTTTGTCAACCTGTATCTGTTCAGCTCGACTTTTGTGGAAATATAAAGAATTGAAAAAAAAACTGAAGATGTTATTGGTTCTTTTGAATTGTATCATTGGAGAAACTAATTGTCTTTGTCTAATGGAAGCTTAGGATTCCCTATTACTGTGACCTGATAAAACTTGGGGTTGTTCAATAAGCCGAACTAACCCAACCCTCTTTGACATCTGCTTGAGAGAAGTATTATGAATGTGGTAGGTTCTTTTTGTTTTAACAGTGGTGTATGGGCTAGCTTGGGCCCACCTCGACTATTCTGCCCGGTACCTGCTACCTCTCGCCAGTACATGTACCGGTTAACTCTTTTCATAAAGGCTTAGATAGATGGAAATAAATCACCTAGTGTTTTTTATCTCTGCTGGAATTTGAACCTTAGACATCATGCAAAGGTGGGGCTAGAATTTTGAGTTTATGGGTTTTGCATTTTAGAAAAGGCAGCTTACTAGGTTTTGAATAAATTATTTGTAAATATTAAATAAATTCTAAACATAAATACAGGGTCTAGGCCAAAGCTATTGGGTTCTATTGTAACCGTATGCAGGCTTGTGGCTCCACCCTGACCTTTTTGGGTGCCTATTTTGGTAGGTATTTTCTCTTTATGATGTTGCTATTCTTCATCAACTGGTTCAAGCTCCAATCTTGGTTAAGAATATTACGAGGGTGAAGAACTTAGTATTGAACGGGTTAGTCTAGTCCCAAGTTGACTTAAGGGGTGGTGATTCTCCTTCCCTTTGATTTCTATAAAATATTATCAAGTTAGAAATTAGAATACTTAAGTGCTAACTATTTTTATATCTTAGCTCTTGCTCTTCTACTTCAAGACTCTCATTGTTCATGAAGTTGAAAACTGAATCTTTGTGACTCAAAGATTTTTCTGAGAATGTTTCTTCTCCTGCTATATATTTTCTCCTAATCACATTAATACTGCAGTTCTGAGCTGTTGAATGATTGTACCTGGTTCAATGTGTTACAACATCTTTTTTGTCTTTTGATGTTATCATTCGTCCATCTGTAACATCTTCACCCACTTCCTTGTATAATAAGCATTTTAAGACTTAGTTTTATGGTTTTCCTTTCCCACTTCCATTCTTCATTTTGCTTTATTCTTGGGAAGCAAAAATATACTCCTACTGTTTTGTGTTGAACCTCATTTGGCATTCTTATCTTTTCTTTCATCTCAATCTTTCCAGTACGCCTCTGTTGATTATTGTGTAAGTAGTTCAACCATACATGTTTCTCTTTAGGTAATAGATGAAGACACTACATTACTTCTGTGTTTAAGCTTGAATGTCATTTCGCATATCTTCTCATCTGAGTGAATATGAGATTGAATTGCTGTCTGAAGTTATTATATGTTGTTAAAACATGATTAGTTTTACTGGTCCTCTTTTGCATCTGGTAATAAATAGTTGAACATAGATCATTACTATTTGGCATTCATAAGGAATCCAAGTATAGGTCACTACTAAGTGCTTTTGGAATATATGTGCAAAACGAAACATTAGTTGAACACAGATTAATTGTTAAGTGGCATCCATAAAGAATCAACTCCAGTTTTACAATAACAACTATGCCTCAGTCCCAAGCAAAGTTGGGGTCGATGATATGAATCCTCACTTAATCCTTAAGCTCAACTCATATCATCATCATGACAAAATAGTATCACCTATATGGATCTTTTCTTTCATTATGCACTATCTTTAGCTAAGTCTCCAGTTTTAGTTCGTGAAAACTCGATGCCGAACTGCATCTCCAAACATCTTTCTTGAGGATATTTTAATAACTGTGAACGCATAGATGCTTGCCATGTGAATATGTATTTTTTATCCTTCTCCTTTGATATTTGTTTGGCTCTCAAGTTTTTTATCTACTGTATTATTCCAGGAAAACCACAGCACTGTCAGCATTTTGGCTTTCAATCGACTGAAGGTTTCCTCATGAGAATCTGCTACACCAATCAACTGCTACATTATCTTTTTGTTGTAGCAACTATTGTTCCTCTGAGTCTTGGTGATCTAAACTCAGACAAACAAGCCCTTCTTAATTTTGCCGCAGCAGTCCCACATGGCTTGAAGATCAACTGGAATCCTGCCACCCCAATCTGCTCATCTTGGGTAGGCATTACTTGTAGTACGGATGGGGCCCATGTGGTGGCTGTACGGCTTCCAGGAGTTGGACTCGTTGGTCCACTTCCAGAAAATACTCTTGGGAAGATGGATGCCGTAAGGATTCTCAGCCTTCGATCCAATCGTCTCAGCGGAAACCTTCCTTCTGATATCACTTCACTTCCTTCTCTTCAATACCTATTCTTACAGCACAATAACTTATCTGGACCTATTCCTTCTTCTTTTTCGAATAAACTGAGTGTTTTGGACCTTTCTCATAATTCCTTCATTGGTAAGATTCCTGTAACAATTCAGAATTTGACTCAGCTAACTAGTCTAAGCCTCCAGAATAACTTGCTTTCTGGACCTATACCCAATATCACCCTTCCAAGGCTAAGACGTTTAAATTTAAGCCACAACAATTTTAATGGTTCTATTCCATTATCCCTCCAAAAGTTTCCAAATTCTTCCTTTGCGGGCAACTCATTCTTGTGTGGACTACCCTTAAATCCTTGTTCCCCTGTTCTACCACTACCCCCATCCCCACCTGCACCTTCACCAAGCATTCCTCAAGAAAAAAGCTCAAAGAAGAAACTTAAATTATGGGCTATTATTGCTATTGCCACTGGAGGGGCTGTGCTGGTCTTTCTGCTAGCTCTAATCGTGGTTTTGTGCTTCCTGAAAAGGAAAAGGGGTGATGGCAGAGGTGTGGTGAAAGGGAAATCTTCAAGTGGAGGAAGGAGTGAAAAGCCGAGGGAAGAGTTTAGTAGTGAGGTGCAAGAACATGAGAAAAATAAGCTGGTTTTCTTTGAAAGCTGCTCTTACAATTTCGATCTCGAGGACCTGTTGAGGGCCTCAGCTGAAGTGCTAGGAAAGGGGAGCTTTGGAACTGCTTATAAAGCTATTTTGGAGGAGTCAACGACAGTGGTGGTTAAAAGATTAAAAGAAGTCATTGTAGGGAAGAAGGACTTTGAACAACAGATGGAAATTATTGGTAGAGTTAGACAGCATCTAAATGTTGTTCCTTTACGTGCCTATTATTATTCCAAGGATGAGAAGCTAATGGTGTATGGTTATTTCTCAAGTGGCAGCTTGTCAATGCTCTTGCATGGTAAGGCATCTTTTGCTCTTATCGTCATTTCCTTTCTCTATTTCTGGTTTTTGGTGGAGCAACTTGATACGCCATTTGTCATTGAATGAGTAGAAACTCCTTATAAAGCACAAACTTCACTCAAGCAATGTCCTAAAAATAATTCATAACGAATCTAAACAATTTGAGTTTGAACTTTAAAGTTGCTAATTGGTGTGAAAAGGAGCATTCTTTCTTGTAGCTAATTGTGATCTTAGAGAAGAAGAAACACATTTTGTATGTATACGTCTGTTTGATCTTTCTACATCTATTATATGAGTACGGAATGTAATCTTGTATCTATCATTTATATAGCAACATATTGACATTTGCCAGCTTTCTTTTACCTATCACTGCTCCACCGAAGGTGTAGTTTATCACTCACACTATCTTGCTGCTTTTCTAACTGGAAAGCTGCTAGAGCTGTAAATCTTCATGCATAATATACCTAATATCTGTCCTGGAAGACTACACGAGAAGTGAACTCATTCCCCATTCACCAACCTGCATATACTTATCAGTGACATACTGCTAATGGTGAACACACACTGCTGATAATTCTAATATCCAATCCATGTCGAACTCTACTGTCATTATAGGCAGCAGGACTTCTGGAAGAACTCCACTGGACT